CAGCTGGAGCGGAAGATTGAAGACTCAGCAAAGGTGAAGAGTTGCAGTGTTCACAAAGGCTTCGACGAGGACGTCGAAGGGATAAGTGGGGGAGAATGTCACGGACAAACTTTGAAATAGGATGTTTGATGTAATGCTTATATCTGTCCGTGTCTGTTGGCATGTTCATGCCTTGTAAAACATGTAGAGGGGCAGCCGAAGGCTTATAAGTCCCATTTTAGTTGGGTTGGTGGCCTCTTTAGGCTTGTAAATAAAGGTTGTGTCATGTGGACACGTGCGAGAGTTTTTCGGTCTGTAATTGACCATTTTACCCTTTGTTGTGCCACTGTTCAGAGCTTGTAAAGTCTGTTTGTAATTTGCATTGTCTATAAAGTGTTTTTCGGACATGTTTGCTTGTGGATCCCGTTTGAGGCGTTCTCTCTAACCCGTTCTCTCTTTTGATGGTCCTAAGGGACAATGGGAGGCTTCGGGGAGGCTGACCTTTGCGGACGGACACGCAAGGGTGCCGCACGACTTAGGCAAAACCAGCTAAGTCCGTGTCAATATGTTAAACTATGAGTTTCTTAGAGTTGACTTTACTTTTTTTTCGAAACTGCATCCATAGTTTAGTTGAGTGCTTAATATACACTTATTTGGTAGGTGCTGTATAGTTTAAATAGTTGACATATGAAGGTTTTGAAAGCTGTGCTCGGTGTTCTTCTAGTGAAATATGAGATAAAAATAGCTGTAATTGATGTGAATGAACCTAAATATCGTAGTGAACTTACTGTTGAGTGAGAATCAATAATTATGAAATCTAGATGTATATTGATGAAATAAGATACGGTGACTGTACATTGCAAAGCTGATTAGAGCATTACGCCGAGATTGATGAAATGAACAATTGAGTCATAGATGTAATATGATGAGTTCACATATTTGGATTTACATGCTGCAGATTGTCCTTGTCACCATCTGAGCATTGCATCAGAAGCACGTTGGATGTCATGTTCTTCTCGACTGATTCCATCGGAACATTGCATGAGAAGCAAGCTTGATATCAGAAGGTAGTGGTCTCATTTATTCATTCATCTTGAAATGTAAAAGAGCTTAGGTTTGTAAGTGCCAAGATGCCACAAAAAAATCTTCAAAGGATTGAAATGTTAAAATCAGGATTTGCTAAGCTCAAATGATCGTCTTAATTTGTTACAGGCAGTGAAGGCACAAAGACGGAATATGGTGGAGATTGATACTAGGAAAAGGAGACATGGTGGCATAATGTGAACGAAGAAACTCAATCTCCATTAATGGAGACACTGAAGCTGCATCGACATCGTCTGGGCACTTAAGACTAGCATCCATGGCAGTAAGCAAGCAAGAAGATGCCTGTATTATGCTCGTTCATATGTATGATTAAACTAAGGATAGCATTTGTTGATGAGACAGCATGTCATTATTGGTATCTTTTGCTTTTTCTTTTTGTTTCGAGAAGTTGTAAATCACAAGGCCGATTGAAGTAGGTCATGAAATAGGAGCAACAGAGAAGCTTTTACTCTTGGTGGCTGAAAATTGCCAAAGTATGAAAAACAACCATATGTGTGTTGCTTCAATTCAGAAAATGAAAACCAACTTGTAGTGATATTGGTTTGAAGTTGCAATAATGCTGGTTCTCTCCCTCAAGTCTTGCAATCCATGTCTTGTTATGGAGGCATTTGCGGACGCACATTGATTTCTATGATTGACACGCATAGCATCCATCCAGGAGGAACAATATTTGACATTGTGTTGAGTGTATGAAATGTCAAGTAATCTCCCGTGGTAGTCGAACGAAAGTATCAGCTAGCTTAGCGGATAAATATTGACAGTTTATTGTAAGATCTTAGGTTTGAATTTTATCTTCATCATTTATCCCTTCAAAAAAAAGAAAAGTGCAAATGGACTCTATATCGAGTTCATGTCAACTTCTTCAGCAGTAGGGAGGAATCTCTTCTATGCTTTATCATAGCCATGGACGATCGGGAATTCTTTGCCTGGAAAGCTCAGCAGCAGGGCAATGGATGTAAACTTTGACCGTCCATGCAAACGCTACTTCTTCACTGCCAACTTCAACCACAAAGGAAGAGGGTGGATGGACAAGCAGAAGAGGAGAATGGAGGAGCAAGTTGGGAAGGTTGGCAAACCCTTTATGGATCACTTTTACAAACATCCAGTGAATCAGGATGTGATCTTGCAGAGAGCGAAAGCTAAATTCAACCATCTCTGGTGAATGCTGACATTTATTTTGCAAGATACAATGGCCATGGAGCTTGCAACTTACATGCTTATAAGCTTTCCAATTATCGAGTTTCTTAAACCAATGCAAGCAACCAATACATTTCTGTAATTTAAGAGTAGTCACACAATGAACTCTCTCAAAAATGCAGATTCTCATGTCCGAAACCATGAAAGCGAAAAGCAGCAACCGGTATCAATCGGGTGGCAATACTGCTGTTGAAAGAAGATGGACCATTTTTGGCTCTAGACCAAAGGAAATTCCATTACAAGGACACTTCCTTCCTAAACTCTCTATATGCCAATAGAAAGACACCAAATAGATTAGGATCAACTGCTTGTTATGTAGCGACGACTGTGGGGGCCTCAACTTGCATTTTGAGAAGATTGAACTCTAAAGCCATTATAGGCTTTGATAGTAAAACTGCAATGCTTCGATCCCGCTCTTCGTTTTCGGTTGACAATCTGTCATCTACGTTTTTCTCTTTTGCTCTAATGTCATTGGAGAACTCATCAAGCTGGATAATCCTTGGCCTTGATACTTTAGCAGATTTCACTGCTCTCACCCTGCAAAGTGTCTCTCGTTAGTGATGAAATAAACCTGAGTAATCAGATGAACACAACATGCTACACAGAATTGATGAAATTGCAAGCTCTTAAAAGCATTACTAGATCAAACAGAATTGGTGAAATTGCAAGCTCCTCCTACCTTTTCTTTGCTCAAAGAAAGGGGACTTCTACCTAGTTTCTAGTCCTAATCATCCAATCTAGTTTAGGAATTATGACAATCTTACTCTGGAACCTAATTTATAAGAAAGTTCCCTAGATAGATATGCATTTGAAAAAATAGCCTGAAAGTATGTAAGGACAAAAGCTATATATATATATATATATATATATATATATATATATATATATATATATATATATATATATATATATATATATATATATATATA